GCCAAGCAGCATCTGCTCCTATGATGCTGCTTGGCCTGCTGTGTTCATCCAGCCCTGCACCTTGTTGTCTCGGATTCTCCAGCATCTGCAGTTCCTACTATCTTGGATTATATATAGTCCATTTGGGCAGAGGTTAAAAAAGTACCAGCAAGGAAATGAAGACATTGGTCGGAGTAGTGTACAAGTCCCCAAACAGTAGCCACTCTGTGGGAAAGGCTATAAATCAACAAATTACAAGAGCACAAGAGCACGTGAAAGGAATAGTGCAATAATTATGGGTCAATGTAATATTCATGTTGATTGGATTAATCAAATTGGAAAGGGTAGCTACAACAATGAATTTAGAGAGTGCATTAGGGATAGTTTCCCAGAGCAATATGTCATGAAGCCAACCAGCATGCTATCTTACACCTGGTAATGGGTAATGAGGAGGGTTAATAGATGACCTCTGAGTTAAAGCATTGTAAAGGAGCTTGGCAGGGTAAATACTGAGAGGATGGATCAATTCATTGGAGAGTCTAAGACCAGAGGGCATAGCCTCAGAATAAAGGGATGCGCCATTAAGGAGTGAGATGAGGAATTTCTTGTCTCAGAGGGTTGTGAGTCTTTGGAATTCCTTGCCACAGAGAGCTGAGGGGGCAGAATGGAATGCTGAGACAGACAGATTCTTGAACAGGCAGGTACATGGACATAAGGAATGTCAGATCAGCCTTATTACTATTGAATGGCACAGTAGACTTGAGGGACTGAATGGCATACACTTGTTCTTATACCTTATGGTCTTGTGTAGTTTGTTGCACATCTTCAGCTTCCCCAGTTCTTTGTTGTGTTATATTGGACTAAATCCATTCTCATCCATTGAAATTGTCTGACCAATTATTTTTTACCTGATTGTAAATTGCCCTTGTCCACAGCTAACCTAAACTGCCTGCCACAATGCTCACAGTACAAGTTCCTGTACTGAAATTTAATCCACTTGACCCTGGTCACTCACAAAAACCAAAGTCAGGATGTCTAGTTCCTCATTGGAACAGGAGCGTGATGATGTGGAAAATTCTCTGGGAGCCACTTCAGAAATGTTTCTCAACAGACTGTTCCCCACCCTCAGTGTTGATGAAAGGCTGTCAACCTGAAAGCTTAACAGTATCTTTCTCCTCGACTGCTGCTTGTGACCTGCTGTGTATTTCAAACTTTTTCTTTTGGTTTTACTATTCTTGATGCTTTGTTAGAGGGTGAGTCATACATCACTCACTCAGCCTATGGCAGCCAGGAGATAGTGGCGGACTGTATTCTCAAAAGATTTTAAGTGCTTTGTGTAATGGTCTTCACACACAGGCGTTCAGCAGTTGAGTTCTGGGATAGTGACCCTTCATCATGAAGGACAAGAGATGACTCTTAAGCATTGGAATGTAATCTGTCCTGTCTGAGCAGGTTTCTGGTGCTCCAGTCACCGGACTCGAAACATTTAACTCTGCTTTTTCTCCACAGATGCTAGCAGACCTGCCGAGGTTCCCCAGCAATTTGTTTATGTTTCCAGTTGCAGGGAAGCATGTTGACCCGGGAGACTGCGCAAGTCATTTCAACACTCAATCCCCCACCCCCGCCCCCAACGCTGCTCACCAGCAAATAGTTAACCCGTAATTCGTTTTGTAATAAAGGTCTCTCATGTGACAAACCGCTTATTACAACAAAAGGGCTTTGTCTGTCCAGTGACTCATGTACCTCGGTAATTAACACAGGCATGGAGTGAATGACAACCAGATAGAAATATAGCGAACTTTCGGAGAACTGTGCAAGTAGAAACCCGTTGGCAGCCACCCTGACCTTCCTCCTTTTGAATGAAAGAAAACTACCGTAGGGGCCGCCTTAATGGGAGGATGCGATTGGCGAGTTGAGAGTCCTGAGCCTCATAACGTTAGCAGCTTCCGTGACACAGGGAGGAGTCCGTTTGTCAGCGAGTGAGGGAGTGGCTGGTATTTCACTGGCTACAGGGAACACCGTCAACATCAGGGAGCCTCGAGTCCAGTGC